GTATTTTAGAGTTGAAATAGTAGTTATCCCATAGGGAAGGACATAGAGTACTCCATGGGATTGATCTAAAGACAAACAAAAAGGGAGAGGAAAGAGTTCAAGATGAAGATCCTTGTATACATTTCTTTTTTTTTTTTTTTTTTTTTTTTTTTGTCTTTTTCATTTCTATCGGTACCAGGGATCGAACTCACGACTGCCTACTTGCAAGGCAGGCACTTATGCCGCTGAGCTAAATCCCCAGCCCCTCTTGTATACATTTCTGAGGCAAAACACTGAGAAACTGGAAAATGGATAATCTTTCAGGGAAATAAACTGAAAATAACTGCAAGGTGGCTAAATGAGATAATAGGAGAAGCATCTTGTAGAGCAGGGGCCAGTCATAATGGCGGTGAACCTCTGAACTGAGACAGCCAGTCTGAAATAGATAGAAACCTGTAATAGGAACTTTGGAACTTCAGATAAGCCAGAAGGGATCTCCACCTGGTGCATGGATGAAAAGGGTCCTGTGCTTTTGTCCTAGTGCAGGTGGAAGCTGTTCAAAAATAGGTGTAGTATCCAGGGAGTTTCTGAAAATTAAAAAAAGTGATACCTTGATTTTCGTTTCAAATTTTTACTGGTACATGTTTGTAGTGCATGCATTTTATAATCATCTTGTGCAATGTACACATATACGTAATATATATTGTTACTTTTTATAATTCTTCCCTTCCTTCCCTTTTTCATCTCTCCTCCTCTAATTTGCTTCAACCTCTTTCCTTTTTGTTGATTCCCACTGAATGTAAAGATTACATGCCATGAAGATGACAACCTTTTTGAACTTGGAATACACAGAACATACTGGTCTGGGAACAATTGCCATGAGTTGGAAAGCACATTCCATTAAAAGAGAATATGAGGGGCTGGGGATTCAGCTCAGTGGCATAAGCACCTGCCTTGCAAGCAGGCGGCCATGAGTTCAATCCCTGGTATCGATTATAAAAGAGAGAGAGAGAGAATATGAATTAGTGTGTCTGCTTGTGTGGCAGACAGACTTTCTGTGTGCTTATTCTTAGAAAGTGTAAGGCAGATCTAGGTTTTGTGTACTGATGAAATTAAGAAAGACAGTAGTGGTTTAGATAAAGCTTCAGAGCTGCTTGTTAAAACAAATTCTAGAAATCGATTTGCATCCAGCTGAGAGAGAGAACGGCACATGAAAATTTCAGTTTAGAGTATCTGTGTCTTTTGGGGATGATTTCTTCCATATCCTAGAATGTGACACACTCTGTGTTATATCCCCAATGAAAAACAAATTGAGCAGGAATAATAGTATCCCCCACAGCTGAAATACGTGTGAAAACAGTAGGCAATAAAGCTTCAGTGCACTTCCGGCATTGGACCCAGGTTCTTCGCACAAATTAACCACAGTCTTTCATCATTCTTATAAGACACTTCTTATAAACTGATTTTCAGAGGCAGTCTGACACTGATAGAGTTCAGTTACAGGCCTGAGTTCCACAACTGGAAGGAACAGCTCTGGAGCTAGAATTCTTCTCAGTGTTACACTAGAACTCACACTGTGCCCTTTGCCCCAGGTTGGGGTCTACCTTGCTTGCTTAACTCATTTTCTTCTCCTATAACAAAATGTACCTGAGATGATATAAAGAAGGACACTGTGCTCCAAACACCAGATGGGAATATACACACTAAAATGAATATTAAAATAATTAAGAGCTGCGAATACGGGAGAGAAAAATAGTACTCTGAGAAATCATGACCATACACACATGCAAAATGAAACAGCCCCAAAAGGTCCAGGTTCAGAATCATCTGATGTTATTCTTTACCAGAGAAAGAAAGTTTTAGAATTATTGTGTTCCTCCAATTGGCAAAAAGAAAAAATAGATCCATGCGTTGTTCCACTGACAAAGAATTATTACCTAACACTGCACTCTTATTTGTTCAAATAGGAAAAGAAAATGATTTTACTGACAGTTCAAATCTAGACAAATATGAAACAAAAACTCAGCTGATAAAGGGGACACGTTTTACTTTAAAGGTCAAACTGAAGCAAAATATTGAAAGAATACCATATAAAAGTTTTAAGGAAAAATTACCCTATTATTACAGATATCATCTGGCAGAAGACTGAGCATTGAAAAGAGCATCAAAATCATATATTTTAATATATTAATGTAAGTTTTTCTCATTTTTAATCGAACTTTCTCATCTAACAGTATACTCACAGCAGTTTTAGAAGTGTTTAAAGACATGATTTAAATGAACAAATACAAAAGTCAACTGAAAAGAAATGTAAACATAAATATGCATAATTTATGTTATAATTTGTAATATGTAAGATTTGTCATGGAGTAGTTATCCTACAGTATAAGAATAAATTTCTTATACATAGCAATTAATTTCCTTGTGGGGAATACCTATATAGCATAACAACATTTTCTTACCCTTACTCTATCTACTCTGTCACTTCACACACACATTTACCAATCTCCATCATAGAATCCTACTTTTCATCACCTCAGATATTTTGGGGAGTACTGGTAAGACAGGTGAGTTAAGCAATACAAAGTCAGCTTCAAGTTAGAGGCATGGAACAGCAGAAACTTCATGCTAATTCACGATCAGGGTCTTGACCTAGGCCTGCCACTTAGAAGCTGATTCCAACTGGGTCTGTTACAATGCTCTGTGACATACAGCTTTCCATCTGTGAAACTTTTTTAGATTTTGTTACTATTAGTTTGTATTTGTTTTTGGAACTGGGAATTGAACTCAGGACCTGGCAAGGCAGGTGCTTATGCCACTGGGCTATATTCCCAGCCCCTGAAGCTGGTTTCATAATATGTGTAAAGAGGGATCACATGTTGTGTGTATAGAAAATACCTGCAATAATCATAAAATGCCAGCTCTAATCATGCTTAATTTGGTGTTGCAAACTGCTACAAAAAGATTTAGTTTTTATTTCAGGATGTTTCAGACATTATGTATGGTAACATTTGAAGAGCAAGAGAACTTCTCAGATAAAGTGCCACTTAGCAAAAAAAAAAAAAAAAAACAGTAATTATTCCCACTGTGGCCTAAGTCATTCAATGTGAGTGAGGGAGATTTCCTCAGCGGATGCAGCACAGAACACAGGAATATTTTGAAGAGCTCAGCATGGTGGAATGGCACCTGCCTGTTATTCTAGTATTTGGGAGGCTAAGGCAGGAGGATTCTGGCAAGTTAAGAGGCTCGCCTGAACTACTTATTGAGATACTTTTTCAGAAAAAGAAAAAAAATGGTTGTAAAGCTCACGAACCTTCCTTTCCTCCCAGCTGCTGTTCCATGTAAGCCACTCCTATTCTCATTCATGTCACAACCACACAAAATGTAAAATTTGCCTTGTAAGTAGCTGGAATACACACAAGGTAACTGATTACTTCCTAAATGGATCAGACTCAGGATCCCCCAGGCAGGAGTAAAGTGCGGAGACAGGGGCTTCTATGGCATGCCACCACCCCTTGAGGACAACTCCCTTCTTACCGAGAAACTCACTGTGCATGACCTTAGAGTGCCTCAGTTTATGCACTGGACTTGAAAGTGCTGGAACAGGTGTACAGATCCCTTTCATTCTTAGCTTCAAGTGGAGATTCTCTCTGGATTTCACGAGAGGTCAATCTATGTGGTAAAAACAGTTCTAATTGTTTATTTTCTAGGACTTTGCACTTGCCTTGCAGGCACTGTACCACTGAGATATATCTCTGGCCTTAGTAGTTTGAAATACGATGTTCAGTGTAAGTTTGTGTTTAGGTCTCCTTCCAAAACCTCAAGAGGTCATATGTGTGAGTGTATGACACTAGGATGGATTCATAGTGCAATGCTGGGATCAAAGGCACTAGGATTAAGGATGTGCTACATACCCAGGGTAAAATATAAGGGATAAAAAGAATGGTGATCAACCCTTTTTTCTTAGTTTCTTCTGCTCACCATGAAACGTTTCTGCTCTGTGATGTCTCTCTGCCAACCATCCTCCTTGGAGTCAGCTGTTCATGCACTGAAACCAGTACAAGTTGTGAACTAACTACGCCTTTCATCACCTAACACTGGGTGGACTTTGTCTCAAAAGTGAAAAAAGTAGCTAAGACACTCAGTGTATCAATTCTCAGAGCCACCCACTTAGGCTGCCTTTGTTTCCTAGATACAGTCTGAAGCACACAGCATGCAGTCTTGCTCATATTACCTCCCCATGAAGGGCAGGCAGTTTCCTAAAACTGCATGTTCCTTCGTCACGTAATTTCCACTGGATTACTTTCATCTCAAACCACCTTTCTCCCTTCTTTCCTCTTCATTTATGCTTTTAGTCTCACATTGTGTGCCATTTTTCCTTATATGAAGGGTGCTTGTGAACCTTCAGTGTATGTTCAATTACAACTCTTTTGTATATTTCTCTTAATAAGACTTTGAAAGTTAAGAGCAGTTGCTCCACTGATGCTTAGGAATAAGCTTGTGACCTTAGCCATCTAATTTATTATAATTAACTTTGCATTGTTCAATAAGCTAGGCATATGTACACACAGTAACTCAATTTTAATTATGTAAAATAGAAAATAGATTACAAAGTCAAATGCAAACCACCTTAAACATTTCCTAATTCTCTGTTCCATGTACGTTTCTGCTATTCTTCACATTTTGAAAGAAATATTTATTCCAGCTGCTGTTATCTTCATATCAGTAATGATAGTGAATGTTATCATTATGTTTTTACCAAACAACAAAACTTTTAAACTGATGAAAAACTGTGCACAAAATCTTTCATAATCTTGGATTACAATGTCAACAATACAAAATTTGTATACACAGACATGCTTATATGTACACACATACACACACGAGTAAATACAGATAAATCTCCAAACTGCCCACGTGAAACACAAATACAAAAGAATGCTGCACTCTGTTCCCTCCCCACTGCCACACTTTACTGCTGGGAACGTTACCTGGCTTGTTCAATTACAAACTTAAGCATCTTAATCATCATCAATAACTATGAGAGGAACTGCTTCCTGGAGAAGGAACTCTTCGCTATCTGTTTCCTCACTACTATCGTAGAGTGAAACTGCAGTATAAACTCTCTCTTCTTCATCTCGCAAAGCTTCTTCATACCTGGACTGGAATGCACTGGGAGCCGTATCATTGATTTTGGCCCAAAACTCCAGGATTTTCATCTTGCTGGTCTCAGCATAAGCTCTTGGACCCCACAGGAATTCATATTGAGGAGGGTCACTGTGAGGCACCTGGCAGTATTCCAGGTATTTCAGCTTCACTAGATTTGTGATGAGCTTCCTGGGCTCCCCGAATAGGAAGTGTTTCTTTCCGTCATATATCTTCATCTTATTCAGAAATTCCCAGATCTCCTCCTCAGTGATGGAGTTGCCCTTCATGAAGATCACTCCTAGAAGATTCATCAGGAGACCAGTCTTCGGAAATCCCCCATTACGACTCAGCATCCCATTGTAGGGGAGTTGCATTTTGCTGACAAGGGCATAAGAGTGTTTGGTGAAATCAACTTTCTTTAATTCCATGCCAAATACCACTTCTATGTTGAAAGAAGCTCTTACCAGGAGCTCTGAGAAGTGTTTCTTATACTTTTCACTGATAATCTTCAACATATCTGTCTTCCTAATGGGTTTTTTCATCATGTGTGCTTCAATGATGAAGTTCACCAACCTTCTTGCACTTTCGGTTAGCACCTCTCTGGGAGACTGTTCGATGGAGTGCTGAATCTGAGAACAGTGCTTTTTCTTACTTTTGCATTTGGTTCCTTCATTTGATCTTGAGTTTGGCATATCTTTAGCTTTAGTCGTAGATCTTCCTCTCTGAGAGCCCTCTGGAGGCCTTTGTGATGAAGAAGCAGAATCTGTGTGAGGAATAGCCCCCATAGGAGGAGAAGCTGAAGCACATTTTTTCTTTTTGGTAGCAACAGCCTCAGATTTCTTGACTGTGCTTTGTTTCTTAGCAGCACAAAGCTTTCTCTTTTGCTCCCGAGGCATGATGAATGTGCAGAAGAGCTGGTGATCCAGGCACCTGGGGGAGAAAGAATGACAGGGCATAAGAACCTCTGGCTCAGAGATATCTCCTTGAATTAGTGAAGACTCCTCTGCAGCTTTGCCTGTCACTACTACTGTAGGAAGCCACAAATTAGTTATTCGCATCAGCCTGTCCTCAGAAACCTCCATGAACATTTTACATTTTGACCCAGTCTACACTGAACAGTCCTTCTGTGTGCCCTGATGGTGAGAACATATGTGGCAAGTCTCGTTCTTGGAGTTTCTCCCTTCTTCTCTGGGATAGAAAATTATTTCTGGTCACATTACAGAGCATAAAACCACTTATTAGCACTGCCTGTGCACCTTTCCATGTACTGAAGTATATTTGACATTGCAAGCAAAGTTCACCTTTCCTTAAAATGTCTTAAGAGTTTTTAAAAAGTTGTTTCCGTCTATTAGTCTTGCCAAGGGGCACGAGTCTAAGAGCTCTGAGGAGTCTTCGTAAACATGGGCATGTTGATGTTCTCAGTCCTAATTCATGGTCCTTCCTTTGGGAGCAGATGTCACCTGGTAGAACCAGCCCCATGCAGAGCTGATGGCCCACACCACAATAATGAACACCATCAAAAACTATGGTTTACTCATTCATGTGACCCCCCACTGCTGGGTTCTCAATGGTACAAGCTATGGGCAGCACTCTGTCATTTGTCTCATTTTTGACCAGAGTGTAGTTCCAGTCGTCCTTATTAAGGACAATCACAGAGACTCTTAAGGGATCTGTGATCCTCTTTCTGCATATTTGGAGCAGACAATTTGTTGAACCATCTTATGACTGTCTGAGGGAAATTGAAGTAACACAGACTGACACATTTACTTGGTATTCTTGGGGCCCAGGAAAGTGTAAATATGTGCAGCCACCTCTGCTTTAGAGTTGATCATTCCCCTTACTCTCAGCCAAGTCTCTGACCTTGCCATCTCCTATTGCTAGAGTTATCTCCTTAGACTGACCTATTCTAGCAGCCTCAGAGCAGGGCTCTGTACAAGGAAGACCACCCCAACATATCAATGTTCTTTCTTGGAGCCTCACAAAAAGGAGCATAGGAGTGTGTCCTTCTGTTGCCACCTCCTCTGAGGGATGATCCTCTCATTAGTACCCAGGGCCTTAAACATGACTCTTATTAGGAAATGAATGTTTTCTACTTCTTGAGTGTTGCATATTTATTCATACCAAAGCCTTCTTATCTCAATATATTTTCCAGAAAATACTGATCTTGTAAGTTCAATTTAATTAATGGAGAATGATATTTTCAGTACAAAATCACAGAGCTAACCTTGAGACCCTTCCTGGGAATTCACACTCTGCCAACAGCACACCAAGGTGCTTCACAGATTCATTATTTCTCCCTGCCTGTGGAAGGAAAGGAGATGACCACACCCACGAAACCAATGCCCAAGGTCTCCCTGGCCTAAAAGCATGGGTGGATTCTTATGAAACTGGCCTGTTTTCTACTTACCACACTTTTAAGTCCTCACCAGGATGCTTACTAGCACCAGAGATCTGTCCCTCTCCTAACCAGAGCCACACAACCACAAAAGCAAACATTCATCTATTTATTTTGCTGTAGGGATAATTTTTACAAGATCTACATGGAATGTCACGCTTGCAACCTCCAGCTCTGAGAGCCAGGATGTGCTCTGTATACAGTGCCGCTTAGGGACACATTGTCTTATCAGCAGGCAGGAACCCTCATAAGTTTCTGTCATTGCCCAAGACCTTTTGCTCCGTGACATGAACTCTACTCAAATTAAGGTCCTTTTCATCCCGAGGCTGCCTTTGGGGAAGACCATCATGTGAGTTACACTGAACTTCAAGAGTGGTGAATATGTAGAGAATATTAATATTTTAAAATAAAGTTACATCAAGACACATGCTCATTAATCCCCCATCAAATTGTTCCCCAATGTTTAGATCACATTTATTCTACCCCTCTTGACAATATCTGAAGTAGTTCTGAAAACCCTGCTTCTTCTTATAAGGCACAATCAAAAATATAATAAATGTCGTGACCCAATGCCACCCAGTGTGAGGCAGAGGAGTGAAAACATTGAGATCTGTGAGTATACACTATATTCAATGGATCTGGGGACTTGAGAGACTTTGCAAGAGTCAACATGACCAAGGAAATGTTTTGAATCTGGCAGGACATCTAGCATTCATGACAGCACAACTAAAGAGTCAAATCAAATGGCATTTGCAGTTTCAAGATGAAATATGTAGGGCTGAAGAGGCAAGCTGGAAAATCAGGAAAGGTTCCGACATCGCCCACTTCAGGCTGAATTCTTTCTGCTCAAAACTTCACTTTTTGCTTTTCGCTACATACAACTAATTGCACAGGCTCATCTGCACCAATGGAAGGTAATGTGATTTATATTCAGATTCTAATGGTTTGGTGGCAATCTAATTTTAAACATTCTTTAGTCTGACCCACCGCTGTAAGGCAACATCTCTGATGTTTAACCAAATGATGGGTCACCACAGTCTTAAGAGGACAAATAAAATTATAATTCAGAAATAGTACTGATGATAGCAAGGTATCTAGACTTGGAAACCTGAGGTTGTCACGAAGTGGGACAAGAAATAATGGTATGCTTGGGGAAAATAATGACTATGCTTTTCCCACTGAGTTTGCAATGTTCTTTAAATAATTATGATTAAAATGGCTTAGAGGTGTTGCATTTATGTCAAGATTTGTACAGTGTATCTTAACATTAGAATCACCTAGTTAATCCTTAGAACTGTAGGATTAAATGAAGCTATAATCATAGAGAGGAAAGGTTAGGTGTTTGAATATGGGAATCTGCAGAACACACATGTGTTAATGGTTGAGAGGAGAAGAAATCTATGGAGGACATGGAGAAGAGTGTGATGCACAGAGGAAGAACTAGGGCAAAGTAATATCTTGAAAACTGTGGAAAATATCATGCAACACTTATCAATTCCAGCTTAATACTACACATGTTCAGCATATGGAAAACTCCATATTTTGCAACCCTTATACCTAAATGGGAACATACAATTAGTTCTAGTCAATAAAATGTATAAAGTGTGAGATGCTGAAACACCTATCAACCTAAGTTCCACAGCAATAACTGGCAACAAAGCCTTAACTGGTACAAACCCCATTACTGGTACATACTGAACAGGTAATGCCATCCAGAAAATAAACCTTTTTTGTGATAAGACGCTGGTATTTGGGGATTAAGTTGTCACCTTAGTGAAATGCATAAATTCTTAACTAATGATAGATCTACAGGAGTAGCCTGCTTAACGAAGGAGTGCACAGTCACAGCAGTATCATATATACCACCTGTCCAGAAGAGAATTTACAGGATATTCTCAAATGTGGAGTAACTGAGCCAACAGTTTCACATATATTAGGAGTTTTCAGTTATAGCAATTTGCTGACATTCTACATTGTCCTTTGGATTAAATTAGAAAGTGTGCTCATCAGATCAAGACAATAAAGAGTTAATTTAAACTGGAAATTGACATTGCAAAATGCATAAACAATGTAGTATATTTGTCTTACACTTTGACTTGAACATTGAAGTGAATTTACGAATGCCAATTGAGTTATTTTGTTTTAAACCACTGAGAATTTAAGAAATCCACTAAATTTTAGTTGTCTAGTAAATAGTAGATTTTAGATACAAACAACAAATTATTGCTTTGGCAATTCCCAGTTTTTAGGAACTGAATTTTGTCACTCCAGACTGAGATAAATATGCCCCATGAACTGTTATAAACACTATGGACTATAAGTGGTTTATACACTAATGTACTGTTTTATATTAACATGCCTCTTAGGTTATTGACTGTATCTGAAGACACAACACTATAACCTGGGGAATTTCAGAAGACCAGAGATTTATTTTAGCTTATCTTTGTACCTGGAAATCTAGGGTCCACATCTGCTGATTTCTTTTTGCCAGTAGAGTTTAAAGGCAGCACAGGGTATCACATGGCCAGAGGCATGGAGCAGAAGTGTGTGTGTGTGTGTGTGTGTGTGTGTGTGTCTGTGTGTGCATGTGTGTGCATGTGTGTGTTCTGGTTTTTACATAAAGCCACCACAGTCATGGGGCTTCTGATCTGTTGATTTTATCAAATCAGCATCTCTTAAACTTCTCCTAAGACCTCAGAATGGCGATTAAACTTCAACACAAGAACCAAAAGATGCCAATCAGTCAAACAATGACTTTTGTTAATCTGAGAGAGACAGTCTGTGTATTTACCTTTAGATTTTTGCATTTTATTGGTAATATAAAACATCATTTGACTATCCTTTGAAAATTATGTATTTTTTCTGTTCAATGGACCTCATAACATCTATAGCTAGAATGCTCGGTGGCTTTTAACATTTCTTTTTTTAACATTTAAAAGTATGTTCGAGTGTACCTTGATTTAATATGATATTTTTGTTTTTATACTTTTTTGCATAGTCTGTCTGTTAATCTGTGTTTATAATTTGATAAAGACATAAAAATAAATATATATGATGATAAGAATTTTGGGGGAGGGCACCAGGAGTCGAACTCAGGACCTTGCACTTGCCAGACAGGCACTGTGCTGCTGAGCTATATCCCCTGCAAAACATTTTAACTACCAGTAATATTCTCTTCCTATGAAAAACAAGCAAAAGCTAAATTATAAAATCCTGGTAGACATTAATGCTTTTATTAGTTATCTTCTGCTGCCTAATTAACATCCCAAAACTTAGCAAGTTACCAGTTATTTATTGCCAGTATCTCTGCACTGGCTGTAGTTCACACTATGAATTGGCTCAGTTCAGAGGACCCTTTCGAACTTTTTCTAATGGTAGTGGCAAAAATTCAAGTGCACCTTAATACAGAAACATACTGCCAACCTTTGCTTCAGTCACAATTGACCAGGCCAAGTCTTGTCACTGATTGCAAATTTCATGAATGGGAAGTACAATCTGCTCATGAAATGGCTATGAGAAGAACTGAAATACAGAGAAGGTTGAAAATCTTTTATTATGCCTTTCAATCACTAAAAATATCATCTGTCAATTCATATATGCCTTGGTTTACGTTCATCTTTTACAAGCACAAATTATATTTTTATTGATATCACCATCTTATCCCAAGTACAAGATAAATATCTACATTTTCAT